CAAACGCACAAACAAATCAAACAAGCAAGCAAACCAAAAGCGAACAAAACAAAACAAGAACAACAAAAGACAAAGGACAGTCTAAAAGTATAAAACCAGAAATCCTGGCTACAAATAAAGAGCAGGGTACAGGCAGTGCTGATGGAGAAGCATATACAAAGAGAAATGACAGGGATGGGGAGAAAGAGAAATTGAACATTGACCAGGCAGAGAGACTAAAAGGCTTAATTCAGATAGAGAAAAATGAGAATATGGCAAAAGGCAAGGAGAACAAAAAAAAAAAAAAAAAAAAAAAACCCAAAAAAATCCCCCCCCAAAACCAAACAAACAAAGATAATGTTACCCAGAGAAACTATATAGTCTGATTATTTCAGAGACAGAGAAAGGAAGATAACGATAGAGGTGTAGAACATGCATCAAGAGAATGCATTATACATGCCTGTTTAAGCAAACCTATAACCAGAATACCCGGTCCAGAGGAGGGAAGAGATAGGCATGAGATAAGGGAGAATATATCTGAATAGCAAGAGTTGATTTAGAGTAATCATGGCAATGCACCAGTGCTGATCTTGGGAGAGGGGCTGTTTCCACTGCATCTATCGGGGCTCTGGTAACAAAGCAGCTACCCAGAGCAGATGGGTGTGATTTGGTGTAGGTGTGTCTCACCTCCACTGTAGGTCCTGCCTTGATGGTTGTTGGGAGGAAAATGGCGACCCCCCCCCCCCCCCCCCCCCAAGAAAAAGCAGTGTTCTTTGGGGCATAAAATAGGACCGNCCCCCCCCCCCCCCCCAGTCCTTTCTTGAACCAGGTGTTGCAAATCACTCTTTTGGGTCTGATGGCACTGTGCCTCAGGCCATGTTCCACGTCTGGCACCCAGGCTTGTTTACAGATCTTATGCCATGCACATTAATGATACCACCTGAAATGTAATTCAGCAAGCTGAGGCACTTCCTAGCAAGGGATCGAGTAGGCGATCGGTTCCTCCTGATGCCGAATGCATCCCTTGCATAGCGTCTATCCTGGAAGGAATTTCTGGAACCGGGACACCCAGCCCAAAGAAAGCTCCGGAGTTGGAGATAGGATCTCTCTCCGGAAAGCCTTGCGGTTAGAGATGGAATGATAGGAACCCTCTCTGACCTGGGCCGAGTTTTTTTTCTTCTCCAGGGACTGTTATATGCTTCCCCAGCCACTCTTTCACTTTCCTTTGTCTCTCCACAGAGGGGGCTCCTTCCCCTCCATGCTTCTGTGTCCCAGCCTGTTTTTTATCTTCCCTAGTTTGCAATCACACACCTATGAGGCTGTCTTCTTAGTGGACTCCGTCTCTTTTCCTCCCAGACTCTTGTGTTTCAGAGTCCTTTGGCTTCAGCCCTTCTTTGTTTGAGAGATGCAGGCGGAAGTACGGAACTGCCTATTTCTCCACCATCTTGCTTGGACTTGGCAATGCCATTTGTAAAATCAGCTTCTTTGTACATATAAAAATTGGTCAAAAAGAAGTTTGATATTTTATACTGTTTGGCATTTGAACATTTATGTTAGAATACTCCATACTACACAATTTTTGAATATACTTTGGATCCTAAAAATATTATGTGTTAATGCCTTTTGAACTTAACCTATAAGTATACTGGCTTCAGTTATTTGGCCATTCTCACCTTAACATAATACATCTATTTTAGTAGCATATACAACCAATCTTCATTTTAAGCACACACGTAGGGAAAAAAAATTCAATGAACAAAATTAGGCTAAACATTACCATATTAAAGTTAATGATGGAGAATATTTCCATAAGTTTTATGTAATTATTTCTATAGTTCCTTCATATTTCTCTCCAAAAATCATCTTAGGAGGTAACTGCTTTATCTAACATTTTATTGACTGAATTGATGATTCTTTGGTAACTTACAGCCTTAGAAAGTCCAGTGAATGGTCAATTTATGCATTGAAATAAACAAATATTTGCTTTTTAGTCACAATGGATTATCACTGATTATACTCCAGTATTTAATACAGACTAATTAAGAAGCTCCACAAATAGCAAGCAAACAACAAAACTCTTTTCATTCTCCCATTTTTCCAAAGAATAGAAATGTTCTGGTGTAGGTTTTCATTCCCTTTATAAAATCATCATAAAAATACCATCAACAATTGAAAAAAATTCTATGTTGATTATATTGAATTAAACACCTTGTTTTTTTGTGGAAGCCCCAGGTACACAATTGCTAATACATTTAACTGGAGATTACATGATATCTTAAAAACATGTAAATGTGAAAAATTTTATAACAATGAAATATGAATATTTAAGAGTTGCTCCAATTTTCTATATATTTGAGGTAAAGATACACTAATGATCTGCCTAGTGTTTAAATCTTTCAGAAAATCAACTTTTGCTATTGAGCCCCAAATTTATGCAATAGCTTTAGAATCAATTCATGAAATCCAAAAGAAACATTTAGAAGACAAGTAATATGATTTAAAAGCAGTAAAAACTTTTAAAACAACTATAATTAATTAGCAGCAACATTTCTTCTTTTAAACATTACATCTATTTCCGAAAAATTATTTAACATCTATAAGCTTATTTTCTCTCTTTCCAAACAGATTCATCATTTTTGTGGATAAATTGAAAGGATTCCTAATTCTTTGACATACTATAAAGCAGAGATTAAATGTACATGATACTTAAAAAAGAAATTGTTTTTCAATATAGCAGAAAACTTAGGGAATCAATATGTTCAAATCATGACAAATATACATATCTTAAAATTCTCTTCTATGTTTGATCTTCTATTTAACTTTTTATTAAAAATTTTTTTTAATGTTTATTTATTTTTGAGAGACAGAGAAAGAGCAAAAGCAGGGGAGGGGCAGAGAGAGAGGGAGCCACAGAATCTGAAGCAGACACCAGGCTCTGAGCTGTCAGTACAGAGCCCAGTGCGGGACTCAAACCCATGAACTGTGAGATCATGACCTGAGTTGAAAGCAGACGCCTAACTGACTGAGCCACTCAGATGCCCCTTAAATTTTTTTAGACAGATAGAGAGAGACAGCATGAGCAGGGGGAGAGAGACACAGGAACAGTAACTTAAGCAGGCTCCATGCTCAGCCTGGAGGCTAATCCCAAACTCTAGGATCATGACCTGAGCTGAAATCAAGTCAGATGTTCAACCAACTGAGCCACCCAGGCAACCCAGATCTTCTGTTTTAGATCATTTGACATTAGTATCAATTTATATGAGGTTCTTATTAGCATGAGCAAACTGCAAGTTACTTCAGAAACAAAAATTCTTGAGTTTAAGTAAGAAGCAGACTTTTATCAATGAAACAAATAAAAGATTACCAAGGGTAGAGAATACTCTGTAGGTGCATCTTATTTACCCATAATATTTATTTAAAAATGTGTAGAGCCCGTTTAAAAAATAGTATATAAAACAAAGGAAAAGCCTCATAAAATCTTGTGTTTTCTTTTCTCGTGTGAGCTTGTTTGCAACTTTAAAATTTAAAAAAAAATTTTTTTCCTATAAGAAGTAAAATAAAGTAAAAGCAAAGTCAAATTAGCATAAAGTTATTTTCAGTCAAAAAGAAAAGCTCATCTAAAGTTTCCAAAGAGCCGAGCATGACTTGCATCCTCACCTCTGCCTTCACATGACCATTTTCCTGCCGGTGCTCATGGCTTCCTGTGTCTGTGCCCAGATCGCTCTATTCTTATAAGGACAAGGTCACATTACAATAGGGCTCACCCTAATGACCCGTCTTAACTTGATGACATCTCTAAAAACTCTTCTTCCAAATATAGATCAAAATCACAGTTTCCGGGGTCAAGGTTTCCACATATCTTTTTAGTGAAGACACTCAATCCATAATGGGCAGTATTGATTTTAGGTAGTGTCATGCTCTGATTTTTACTTACCAAAGTCATCTGTTAATTTAAGTACTGACTGAAAAACTGTGGGGAAAGGCATTGTAAACAGATTAAGGAAATCATTTGATTCACGAATTAAAATCAACTACCCTTCTGTATTAAAAATTTAATAGCGAATAATATGAATCGTGTATAAGAAAAAACATAGATTTGAATCATTTGTCATTGTATTAGAATTTCCTGATTAACTTAAAGCCAGGTTCCTCATTTTTGAATTGCTTATTAGTGTTTTATGTCTAATAAAATAATTTTGGTAATCTTAAAAAAAAATAAATAAATAAAATAAAGTTTCCAAAGAGCCAAAAATGTATGTAGTCTTAAAAAAACATGTAGTCACTGGAGGGATACGGGAACTGAAGGATTCAGTATGAAATTAGGAGCAAAAAGCTAAACACACAAAACAATTTATACCTGGACTATCAAATTCTCATTGTACAAATCTTTTATCTAAATAAGGGAAGACTTACAAGATGGACAACTGGAATTCACTAATATTTGGAAGGGTGAAAAATTTATCTAAAAAGTAATCTGTATTTATTGCACAGAATAGAATTTTCTGAAATTTTTCAGTACTTGTCTGCTCATTATAAACCAAAGCACAAGATTATGTCTCCATAGCACAGTTTTCAAAGACATTTTCTTGGTTTTAAATCTTTCCTTTATATATGTAAAGGAGCATAAGAAAAGTCATTCAGAGATGGCCTTTTTCACTGTTATTCACCTTAGCTTAGTTCAGTGGGGTCATTACATTTAAACCAGGCATAGCAAATTTGCAAAGTTCCAGCTGATGATACGCTTAGCTTTTCACATTTTGTAGGTGGCAATCATCTGAGGTTTCTTTTCTGGTGATTTATATAGGAAGTTTTAAGGAGATATACAAAGATCAGAATTTTGTTATCCAAGTTCAATACCTGCTGGTGTGGAAAAAGGGTGAATGTAATCTGGAAACTGGCTCTTGAAGGTGGTAAAGCATTTAGGTCTGTCACATGGTTCATTCAATGTCCTGAGCAACAACAATAAAGCTCACCATTTAAGCGACAAATTAGCTCAACCAGTGCACACCAGCTGTACTCACCTCCTGGGCAGCTCCAGCTCTTCAGGCAATTCCTTCCAGGTTCTTCTTTACTGATTTCCTAGGTCCAGCCTGCCATCTTGTTCTGTCCAGGGCATACCAAACCAATATACCAGAAACGAGGACAGCCCTTCTGCAATAGTGAAATACTTTGTCCATATTCTTAGGGAGGCCAGACCGCTGGTGATAAGATCCTCAGATAAACACTGGCAAGGTTTTCTCCTTGCTCCATCCCAAGGAAGGAGATACACCTTTCCTACACTTTGGAAACTGGGTATCTGTTTCAATTAAATTCCTTTACCTGCATTGAGCAGGTACTAGATGAAGAAAAATCTATTTCTTGAAAGCAGAATGTACATTCGTTGGTACCTGCATCGTTAAAATACTAATGAATTGTATGATATTTACTCTGGGTTTTTGAAAGTTTGACAAAGGGTTCAAGAAACGTCTGAAGCTGGTTTAAGTCACTTTTCTTTACACAGTGGATTCCTTTGGTCCCTGTTACGTACAATTTTTGGTTTCTGTTTCCTACCAAGATGCTTCCCAAGAGACACTGAATCTACAACCCGAATGGCCTAGACATATTTAGCTTAAAGTCTCTTTTCACAAGGATAAACGCCACCCTTTTTGCGTTGCGGTGACGGACCTCAAGACGAAGGCCAGGGGTGCTCTTCACAATGATGTCCTGAGGGCAGCACCGAGGAGTGGCCATCGCTGGGCCTCATTGTCACTCAGTTCGGTCCCTGTGAGCAGGGCCCTGCTTCGCCGCACGTTGGCACTGCACGTAGGGGAGGCGGTGCCGCCTGGTCAGCTCAACGGCGCGGGCCTAACTGCCGCAGTTTCTGTGCAGGGCACCTGCGCATGTGGGCGCACGTGGGCGCGACCAGGCCTCCACGTGCCTGGTCACCTCCTCTCCTTGGGCAAGGGTGGTGTCCTAACCTCGAGGATGCCCCCACCCCACGCAGGAGGTGTGGTGGAAGGGACGGGCTGCATTCCCTTGGACTTTATCTGATGGAGCAGACCATTTGTGGATCCCCGTGGCAGCAGCAACTGTCAGTTGAACGGAGCAGGAATGCTTCCGGGCATGCGACGATTCCCCCTGATCACGAGGAGCACCGCCCTGGTGGTCTCCGGCCAATGGGTAGGGTGGGGGGTTTGGGCACAGGGAGAACCTGGGTCAGAATGACCACTTGCCATTGTGGTAGCTTTAGGGGTATGGTAAGAGCAAAGGACAGCGAGAGCCAGTAGAGAGAGGGCTTCCAGACTCCATCCGGCCCCTGAGCACCCCTGGCTGGATTAGGGGCACATTAACAAGAGGCTTTGCGCAGTTTACAATACCTTTATCCATGCCAGGGTTATTATGATTGTGTGGTTTCAGGCCAGTAGAGAAGAGGGTTATAAAGTAGGTGTGTATGGGAGTGGGATAGGGGCATAAAGTAAGGGACTTCTCAGGGCCTTTAAAATCTTGCTAATGGGAACCTCTTCCCTCTGGCGAGGAGGCTGTGCTCCTGCTGTGAGTATGTGTACGGAGCCACATCACTTCACCCTTAGTTTCAAGGCGGTTAGTGGATCCTGCCCCTACTCCTTCCCTCAGGTACTCCTTCTATGAGCTGTCCTTGATCACTCCTTCCTTTCTCTTTCCTTTCTGTTTTATTCTCTTTCCCTCTCTCTCCTCGCCGTCTACATTTTCCTTTTAGTTCCTTTTCTGCAGTTTCACAGCCTGGTGAGTTTTATCTAGTCTCATGGCTCTGATTACTAATTACACGCATGACTCATAAATCTGTCTGCAGCCCAGACCTCTTGCCAATCCTGAATTAACTGTCTGTTGGGTAAATCCCTTGGCTAACAACCAGGCTATAAATCTAAAATCAAATTCACCTCTCCTTTGAAAGCAAGCTCCTCCTCCTGTATTGTGGGTTTCTGATAAGGTCACCACTTTCCCCCACTCACCTAAGTACGACCCTAGACCTCTCTTCGACATCTTCTGCAGTGTCTACCCCATCCTGTCAGAGGGCAGGGGCTGTTGCTTAAATCGTTTCCTATTCCTGCCAGCTCTGTGAGTGCTCAAGCCTTTGTCACCTCTGGACTCAGTAGTGTAGGGGAGGAAAACTTTCCTTTTTTGCCCGCTAGGTTCTTTGGCTGCTCAAATAATTAAACAAGACAGAATAACAGGAGTAAAAGACAGATTCTTATTTCACACATATGCGAACTCATAGAAATATTAGATTCAAAGAAGTGACCAAAGCCAGCAGATTTTTATACCTTTTAGAAGAAATTTATGAAAAGCTAACAAGGCAAAAGTTTGGACTTAGGATAGCAAATTAATGAAGAAGTAACAAGGTTTGTTTATATAGCTTTCTCAGTATTGAATTCTCTCTCTCTGGTGATAAGGATGCTTTCTATTCTCCCAGTGCAGAGAGTGGACACTTTATATGAAAAATTTATTTCCTGCTTTTAGGGGTACAGGGAAGGGTCAGAATGGCACATTTTGGGGGCAGCCTGTCCTGGATCCCATCAGTAGCTTTTCAACTGTTACCTTCCATGTTAATTCATGCTTTACATTCCACCAGAGTAACTTACCCTGATTATGTAATTTCCTTGATAAAAATCATCAAAACTTTGACAGAATAGAACCTTGCATTTAAGAATATCTGATCTTATCCAGGCTAGTTTTCCAGTTTTCTTCCCAGATTTCTCCCATTCATAGTCTACCTCCAACCAAACCAAACTATCTATGTTCTGATAAATATCTGGATCTCTTTTAACTTCTGTCTTTAGCTTCTGCATTTTCTTCCACCTCAAACTGCTCTTCTTTTGTGCCCCTTTGTCTAGATCTTACCCATTAACTGGGATGTTATCTTCTCACCTTGCACAGGACTATATTTGGGGCTGCATCTTTTTACCTGGCATTGGCTTCTTTTCTTTTCTTTTCTTTTCTTTCTTTTTTTTTTTTTTTGTATTTTTTTCCTTAATAGTGTATTGTCAAGTTGGTTTCCATATAATACCCAGTGCTCATCCCCACAAGTGCCCTCCTCCATGCCCACCATCCCCCTTCTACTCTCCCCCCACCCCCATCAGCCTTCAGTTTGTTCTTAGCATTCAAGAGTCTCTCATGGTTTGCCTCCCTCCCTCTCCCCCACTATTTTTCCTCTTCTTCTCCCGCATCGTCCTCCATTAACTTCCTCCTAATCCACCTATACGTGCAAACATATACCTTGCATTGCTTTCATCATAAGACCATATATAATTCAATTATAAGCTCCACAAGGTGGTATCTAGGATTTATTTTCACCATTCCTTAAATGCCTGGCTACAACTTTTAGCTGCCCCCTAAAATTTTGTTGAATAAATACATGAACGCTTTATACATCTCAGCCTGCTCTCTGCTCCCCCCTCTTTTGCCTTAGATCCTGAAGAAGAATGAGTCTAGCAGTGTAAACCACAAAAACTATTGCAATACAATTATTGATTGATTGCCACATACCTTATGTGTTAAGAACTTTATGAAGTTTCTTCACATGCATCTTAAGATGTATTGTTGAATCAGGTCAAGATTGAACATGTCTGGTGACTAAAGGAAGTTCCTGTTGACACTAAATTGGAATAATGGGTTGATTTGTGTTCATAGCATCCTGCCAAACTTCAGGCAGCTTTTTCTGCCACTGCAACTCAAACATCTTCCCTTGCTCACTTCTCCATTATGGTGGTGTGGGCTAGAAAAATTAGAAAACATAAGAAAGCATAAAGGATTGGCTGGCGAGTAATCGTCATGGTCATGATAATAACCATTGCTAACATTTATTTAGTTGTTAATATGTACCCCTGCCCTGTGTTAAATACTTCTAGTTAAGTGTTCAACTCATTTAATATGGGGGTCTACTAGGTATGTACCCTACTTTCTCTTTTTGAGACATGTGGAAGCTGAGGCATAGATAGGTCAAAAACTTGCCCAAGATTACACTTAACAGCTGGTTTAAGTGACAGAGCTCAGATTTGAACCCAGTCATCTGATTTTAAAGCTACCATGTCACTCAAACCTTTTCCATTCAGTCAGCATTTTCTGAGTATTAAAGCTCGGTGATGGAGGCAGAAGAGATAAGACATGCTGCCTGTTCCTAAGCTTACAATCTAACTGGGGACAAGAGAAAATTAGAAACACTCTGAGTGAGCAAACATCTCTCTCAGTCCTTGGTGCTCCCTCAGTGTGTAGTCCCTGGCACTGGGAAGCTTGTAGGGCAATTGCTTGTTTCCATGTCTGTTTTTCCACCAGATAGTGGCCTCCTCGGGGCCAGGACTTATGTCCTTTGGAATGGTTCTCTCTTGCCCCAGAACAGCACTTCACACAGCGTGGGCACACAAACTGTGTTTGTGGAGCTGAACCAAATGCTAAATCGTGTTGTTCAGAACACAAATATAACGGGGGCAGATGTGGGCCAGTCTGGCTGAGTCATTGGGAGGGCTCAGGGAGGAGGGGCAACTTGAGGGACTGAGGGATGAATGAGGTTTAGAGATTGTTATAGACTGAATGTTTGTGCCTCCCCCAAATTTTATGTGTTGAGGTCCTAACTCTTCAGGTAATAATAGTATTGGAAGAAGGGGCCTTCATTTGTCCATGAGGGTGGAGACCACATAAATGGGATTTGTGCTTTTTTATAAAAAGATCCCAGAGAGTTCCCTGACCCCTTCAATCATGTGAGGACAGCGTGAAGATGGCTGTCCATGACCCAGGAGGCAGCCTTCACCTGACAGAAGATCTGCTGGCACCTTGATCTAGAGGTTTTCAGCCTCTAGAACTGTGCAAAATAAATGTCTGTTGTTTAAGCTTACCCAGTTTCTTCTGGTACTTGGTTATAGCAGCCCAAACTGATGGAGACAGAGGTCCTTTTCCTTTGCTGTTTTTTTCCCCTTCCCCTTTCCTCACCTCCTCTTCCCTTTCCTTTCCCCTGATGTCCTCCTCTCTTTTTCTTGGTATGCACCTTTAAACTCTGGGTCTTAGAAACATTTATTTTTTTAAGCAATCAAAGTGTGGATCTCCTTTCCTGTCCTTCAACAGCCACTAACTAACTGCCAGTGCACCTGAATCTTCTCTTTTTTTCTCAGGTCAAGATGCAGTAGGGATTGTCCAGAGCAGGGCTGTCCAATAGAACGGTAAAGTAAGCCACAGATGGAGGGCACATATATAATTAAAAATGTTCTAGTAGCAACATTAAAAAAAAACATGTGAAATTATAGTCAATATTATCATTTCAACATCTGATCAATATAAAATTATTAATGAAGTATTTTACATTTTTTT